GGAGGGAAAAATTTAGAAAATCATCAAGCAAATTGAGAAACAACTAATCATCCTAAAATGCAACAATGAACATGTATCCAATGTTTAAACAAAAAAGAAAGATCTACAAAACCCTTTCCCTCCCCAAAGGTGCATCATCAAAGCCTCTTCCTATACTCAGCTCTTCCCCATTAATAAAAATGAGTAAAATTTGACATTCCAGAGCATGTAACCTTGAGTAAAGACCAACAGGGAAAACCAGATATGTTGAGTCTATTCATCCATCTTAAACTGGTTAGAAGTGGGGATTTCTTGGGACAAAGCGTCACAGGAATGTGATATGAACTCTGAGCAGTTTTACATCAGCCTGGGCCTGGCTCTGGCATTTCTCAGTGGGGAATGGAACTCAGTACAGTTTCTTTATTATTATTATTATATTTTTATTGATTTCAGAGAGAGAGGAAGCGAGAGGGAGAGATAGAAACATCAATGATGGTAGAATCAGTGATCAGCTGCCTCCTGCACGCCCCCAACTGGGGATCGAGCCTGCAACCTGGGCATGTGCCCTGACCAAGAATCGTGACCTTAGTTCATAGGTTAACACTCAACCACTGAGCTACACAAGCTGGGCTCAGTACAGTTTCTTAATAAGTTTTTAGTTTCTTTATTTAATTGATGAAGACACCTCTCATGTGTGGCTGATTAATTTGTCATTCTCTGAAGTTCAAAGCATGGATTGTGTTGTTGTACAAGTGATGTTTTCCCTCCCTGTCTGTCAGGAGGACCTTGATGACTGCCTACGCTCAGCAGTCTCATTCTCACCTGTCAGATTCTGATCTTATGACCCCTTTTTAATTTTCACTTGTCTCTTTCTGGATGAAAATTTTGATTGTATAAGCTAGGATGTATCCATTGCATCATGACCTTCTCTCAACGAGAAAAAATTGCTAATATGAAAAATACCTTCTATCTACTTCTATTTAGTGCTCTTTCTTAACATTTTTTAAATTATAAAAATGTTTTCTGTGGTAGGTGTTTGCCTGATGTTCGCCTTGTTATTCATGTATTTTTTTGCCTATAATCAGAGTTGTCATCTATTACATTTGCCAGAAGCCAAATTCTGCAATTGTGTAAGTTATTTTGTAAATACCACTCACAGAGGTACTAAATAAATGCTTGAAGAAAATGATGATTATGATGATGCTTCAAAATTATGTTCTGCAATATGTTTCTGTTGTTCTAATAACTTAAAAAATAAATTTTAAATACATATTTTTATCCAACCAGCACTTCTTCTAAAATAGTTTACAAATATCGAATAATATTGTGCACCTGAAACTATTAGAATGTTACATGTCAATAATATTTCAATGAAAAATATTTGAACATTCAAATGTTCAGAAACTTTAAAACAAATATTATAGCCCTGGCTGGTTTGGCTCAGTGGATAGAGCATCAGCCTGTGAACGGAAGGGTCCCAGGTTCAGTTCCTGTCAAGGGCACATGCCCAGGTTGCAGGCTCGATCCCCAGTAGGGGGTGTGCAGGAGGCAGCTGATCAACGATTCTCTCTCATCATTAATGTTTCTCTCTCTCTCCCTCTCCCTTCTTTTCTAAAATCAATAAAAATATTTTTTAAAAAATAAAACAAACATTATATTTTTCAAATTCATCCTAAAGAATTATCAGAAAAGAGGATATATGCCTATGTATAAAAATGTTCATTAAATTTTTATTTATAATAATCAAAAATGTAAATAATCTAAAATATCAAATAATAGGAAAGTAGATAAATAAGTTTAATATATTTATATACAGCTATTAAAATTCATGCTGATATATATGCATAGCCCATGGACATAGACAATAGTGCGGAGAAGGACTGGGGTGGGGTGGGAGCTGGGTGGAGTGGGACAAAGGGGGAGGGAATGGAGCACATGTGTAATACTCTCAACAAAAAAATTCTTTTTTAATTTATGCTGACAGTATGTTAGGTTAAAATAGTAGAATACAAAACTATGATCAAATGATCTTAATTTTAAAAATCATAAACACACAGGAAGAAAACAAAAGAAATAACCAACGCTGTTATATGGGTTTCTTCTAAATGGTGGAATTATAAGTAGTGTTTTCTTTATGTATACTTTTCTGTTTTTTTCTCCAATGAGTAATTTATAATAAGAAAAAAAAAAGCATACATTTCTAGAAGGACTCTATAATCTCCAGAGCAGGTCTGGTCTTTTATTTGTATTAACTTAAAAATGGAACTTCAGGTGCACTTTCCCTCTGAGGAGCACGCCCGTGCCATTCCCCCACAGGCAGACACGTATCCCCCAACCTCTAAGGGACCCATGAGACTTGCAACCGGGGAGCAAGGGCGGCAGCAGCTCAAGTCGGGCTAACCCCCCTGAACCTCTCTCCAAGGCTCCTTTTCTTTGTTTAGCCCTTCCCTTTGGATAGCCACATCTCCCATACCCTTTTCCTTAAATAAATTCAATTTTCTTTTAAAAAATGGAACTTGAAAACATTGCAAAATGTTTGACTTTTTATGGTCATCCACTACTTGCTAGGCAAAACGAAGTGGTAATTTTGCCACTTGTTAGTGTTTATTTCAAATAAGAAGACAAGTTGAATCCATTAAACTTGAATCGGGTTTTGAATTGTCTACTGACTTCATTTCATGCTCTTCTTGTTTCTCTAGTAGCTCAGGAATTAGTGAGCTGCTTTTCATGGTTAGCCTATGTGTATTTCTGGTAAAATTCAGAAAAGTCCTGTGAGGAAAAGCTAGAATGCAGACATTACTTTATTACAATATTAATTATTATACAAGTTATACTTCTTTTCCTTTAAAATGACTAATTGCATTTCAAGAAACATAAAAAATAGCATTCAAACGTGAATGCCCTTTTGTCCACGCCTCAGCGATTTCAGCAGATAAGCAATAAATACAAAGTTTCTACATGGGCCCACCTGAGACTTGGTGCAGCCATTGCATTCTGACCAAGGGCCGAAGGAACCCCACTGGCAATTGACGGGAGAAGAGGCACTGTCCAGCGGTTCATCAACGCAGGTGGGAAGGTAAGAGAGAGGGGACACAGAGAACAGTCAAAAACAGTCAAAAATTGCTTCACAAATTTACTTCCAAAGAGCAACCAAAAGTATCCCAAAATATATTTTGTAAATCTGTAAAAGGGACCCACTTTTTGAGAGATTAACATTTGTTAAACATCTATCATGTACCGGGCACTTGGAAACACTACAGTTGTAGACATATTAAAAGAGATAGGTCACTAACCATTGACAAAGGGGAAGACAAAGACACAGATGCATCAACAAGTGATCACAGTACAATAATACAACCGTAACCCGTGATGCAATAAATCCAATCTAAAAGATTTCCCAATAGGAATGTGTACAGGATAATGTTATGGAAATAGAGATAGGGGAGTGGTCAGAGTCAGGAGGGATAAGTGAGAACATCTGGGAGGAAGGTACTGTAGCCTTTGGAAGGATTCTGAGTGACATATGAAAAAGTTACTCAAAACCTCTCGAACCCGGGAGACCAGGAGTTCTAGAAAGACCCTGGGAGAGTGGGATACTGAAGACGAGCAAGGGCTAAATGGACAGGAATTCACTTTTAAATGCTCCCCTGTTCATTTAGGTCCCTTCTTAAGCCCACACCCATAGAGGGGACATCCGAGCCTAAACAAGCGCACTCAAAATATGTGGAAATGGAGAGTTGGCGCTCACACCATGCTTAACTCCAGCTGCGTGGAGGTCCCATGGCTTAGCCCTCAGACATTCCCCTCGCAAAGGGTGAAGGAATGGAGACTCCCGATTTCTGGATTTTGAGCACATTTCTAGCCTTGAAAACACCTGCGGGTGACCTGCCTCCTCTTCGGGCCCTGGGTGACCTTGACAGTCAGGAGCCGGTGCTGCAGTGTGTGTGTCTCGGGTGCTTTGATGGAGCCAACCTTGATAACGTGTGGTCTTGATGTGGCACCAAGGGTCCCAATGCCTTAGAATTATTGACCCTCAAACAATGTGAACTTGCTGTGTTCCTATCTGGGGTCCCAGGGACAGGCTCAGCCTCCCCCACAGCGCGAGGCTTAGGGAGGGGAGCGTGCTCGGCCTCACCTCCTCTGGGCTCCCGCTGCGCCCTGTCCAGGCCTCTGGCAGAGGGAGCCCCGAGCATGTGTGTATGGAAATCAACTGTTTCCAGTTCCCAATCACACAGCCGACGCGCAGTGCTGCCCGGGCCCCAGTCACCAGCACGGCGCCTGACACATATTCTGATAGTTTCCTAGTAAACTGACCTGGTCCCGTCCTGCCAAACTGACCGTGAAAGCAAAACAAGGCTGTGGGTAAATGAGCCCGCCGTTCTCCAGGCCTCGAGGGCCACTAAAACTATGTCTGCAAAGACTCTCGACCAGGGGTCCTCAAACTTTTTAAACAGGGGGCCAGTTCACTGTCCCTCAGACCGTTGGAGGGCCGGACTATAGTTTAAAAAAAACTATGAACAAATTCCTATGCACACTGCACATATCTTATTTTGAAGTAAAAAAACAAAACGGGAACAAATACAGTATTTGTATTTGCATGTGGCCCGCGGGCCGTAGTTTGAGGACCCCTGCCGACCTTTAAAATCCAAAGAATGTTTTGCAATGCCTACATTTAAAGATCAAATTCTGCTCTGGACTGTGTAAGGCAGCTGCGATTCTCCGAAAGGGGGTAAAACCACAGCTGGGACAGGCAGAAAACCTTGAGGTATTTTTCATCTGCAGGCTTCTTCCTTGCAGCAAGTAAAATAAGAATAAAACAAGCTTTTGCTATCATTGCCTTTTCTCACGATGTGGAAAGATACAGCATTGAAGAGAAACATGCTCAGGCTGCACTAAAACATTTCCTAAAAACAAAAACAAAAAACAATTTTAATTATTTCCACACACAATCCAAACAATTCTCACCTTGAAAAAACTGGTAACTCTGCTATAAATCCCACCAAGATGAAGAAACTTATAGCCTGGAGGGAAATAAAAGCATTATTTTCATTTGCATTTCTTAAATGAGTTGAAAACCAATTCATTTGTACAAGTCAAGATTTGTGATTTAGGAATATAAAGTGAAAGGACCAGGGAGAAGGCTTGGTGACTCTACTTGTCTTTTAAGTTTCCATTTGAAATAAGAGTCGAATATAATTCTGTTAAGCTCACCTCCTACTGTTCATTTGTGTGTTTGTATTTTTATTTATTTCAGAGAGAAAGGGAAAGAGACAGAGAGATAAAAGCATCAATGATGAGAGAGAATCATTGATTAATTGCCTCCTGCACACCCGCCCCCTAACTGGAAATAGAACCGGGACCTCCTAACTCATAGGTCGATGCTCAACCACTGGGCCACACCGGCTGGGCCTACTCTTCATTTCTGTAAAAACAACTAGGGGATGGGTGATGTCATGGACAAATAAATAATGCTCACTGGAGTTAAATTGTCCCAAGCATTTCTGTAAGGTCCCATCATCTTTTAGTTCCTTTCTCCACTGTCCTTCTCTCTAAGTTCTGCACCCATGAGGACACCCAGAGAGGAAAGGCCTGGAAGAAAGAGCAGAGCTGAGAGCGGAGGAGTTAAAGGGAAATAAGCTTCATAAACGAAGACTCAGGGGTTGAGACACGTCCCTGGCTAGGGAGGCGGTGATGTGCGTCGCACTCCTTAGTTCGGTGGGTGGCTCCTGCGGTCTCTGAAGAGCCTCGGAGGCCTCTGACCCCTCCTTACCTGCAACACCAGCCAGGTGTGGGGGTCTGACAGGTGACAGAATTGTGTGTAGAATGTAATTACATTTTGTTTGAAAAATCAAATGTGTATTGAAAAACCTATGAAGAAGTATAACAGGATAAAAGTTTATTTCCGGTTGTAAAATCATAGGTGATTTTTATTATCTTACTTTTACTTTTAAGTATCTTCCTACATTACCTGACAACTGAAGGTGTAGGGCATATAAATCAAATCTTTACTGGAGATGCTCAAAGAACATCAAATGCATTCAATTCATAACCCAGAATAAACGTCTTTAAAATCATCCGAGCCCTCAGGCTAACAGGCCAGTATTCTTCCTCTTCTGCCCCAAACCTCTCTTCTCTCAGTGTCGCTGTGGAGTGGCTTCCCAACCTTTTTTCCAGACTCTCCCACTCCCCTCCGAGATCCCCTGTCCTCATATTAGTTATCTCCCCTCGGTTATAAAATCCTTCTTGCCTGCCTCTGTCTTTTAAACTTGCACAAATCCTTCAGCCTCTTATTCTCACCAGCACAACCAAGGAGCTGTGGGCCACATGGAAATGAGCAAACAATGGTGGGGGAGCTAGGACACTTCCTGAGTTTCCAACAGACACATGAAGCATATAATGGAAAGCAACACCTTCGAAAGGTTTTATTTGTTAATTATAAACAACATGTTTCTCTTTCCTTTCTCAACACGTCTCTCAGCTCCCATTTTTCCTGCCCGGGGGAAAGCCTATATCAGAGCTGTGTTAGTCACTCCCAGGCATTAGCAAATTTTTAGAAAATAAAATTCTGGAACAAGTTAACAGTCATATTTCAATTTATCATCTGATTTCAAATGTCTCTCCTGCTCCCAGTTCCTGGATGCTCATGACAGGGGAGGGGTGTTCTCCGGCTTCTCTCCCGCTTCCCTCCCCGAAGCTGCCTCTTATCTTCTTCCAAGTCAGAGCAGCAGGAGTGAAAGAGGAAAGAGCCAAAAAGGACATTTTTTAAAAATTATTATTAAATGTATTGGGGTGCCCTAGCCCGATTGGCTCGGTGGATAGAGTGGCGGCCTGAGGACTGAAGGGTCCCAGGTTTGATTCCACTCAAGGGCACATGTCTGGGTTGTGGGCTCTGTCCCTCAGTGGGGGGCATGCAGGAGGCAGCTGATCAATGGTTCTCTCTCATCACTAATGTTTCTATTTCTCTCTCCCTCTCCCTTCCTCTCTGAAATCAATAAAAATATATTTTTAAAAATGTATGGGGGTGACATTGCTTGACTCATTCAGCAGGACTCTGGTGATGGTAAACCAGAGTGTGTTGGATGATTGATGCCAATTCTTTATCTCTCACAGAGTTTTTGTGGTTCTTTGGATGCCCCCCACCCACCCATTGGGGATCTACAACTACTCTTCTCTTGCTGAAATGACTCATCTTTTTGTCTCACTCCTGACTCTCACCAGAGCCCTACCCACACTGATGCTGTCCGTTTCATCGCTTTATCTGGCAGACAGTCCCTCGGGCAGAGCATCTGACAACACAAAGGCCCACGTCTAGTCCATGGGATACTGTGGCACATTCTGTTCTCTCAAACCCTGATGTCCGGGTGCAACTGATCCTGCTGTGTCGATTTGTCCTGCTAAAGGCAGGCCAGTCAACCAGCCTATGCCCTTAGATATTCTCACATGTGAGAAAGGTCATTCTCTATCCCCAAAGGGACACAATCTTGCATACTCTTGAGGATGGAGATGGCCACGGGACACTGGACAGGTTTAGGGCTTTTCTCTCTGTAATACTGTATTGAATGTCAACATTCCACCATAACATGTGGGGCACTGAGCACCTGCTCATGGCCTTTGACTCCCAGCCAAATCAGGCATCATGCACACATCATTTTTAACACTCTATTATTACATGCATTTTTTAAAATTTTCAAGTACATTTTAGGGATTTTTTTTTTCATCAGAAGTGCCTTTGATACCACCTTCCCCATGTACAAACTCCTTATTCTAGCCCATGAAGATCAGCTTACTACAAAGCCAGTTCTGTTCATGAGTTATGCAAGCTGAATCTAATAACCAAAATAATTTCTTAAGAATTTGCTAGCTGGATACCTGAAAATGAAGCCGCTATCATATCTTGCCTTTGGAAAGACTATCTTATCAAAGGGGCAAGGTAGAATAATCACAAATTAATAAACAGTCACATTAATGACAGACAGACATACATCTGGGTTGACTCTATAAAAGAATTGCTTAGTTGAAAAGATATGGTGTCCCCCTTGGTTTGGCTCAGTGGAGAGCATCAGCCTGTACTGAAGGGTCCTGAGTTCCATTCCTGTCAAGGGCACAGGCCCGGCTTGCGGGCTTGATGCCCAGTGGGGGGCGTGCAAGAGGCAGCCAATCAATGATTCTCTCTCATCATTGATGTTTCTATCTTTCTCTCCCTCTTTCTCTCTGAAATAAATAAAAATACATTTAAAAAAAGAAGAACTGGTGTCTCCTGTATCATCTTTCATTTAAAAAAAAAAAGATATGGTGTCTTCATACTGTGTGATACCGCTAAGCTGGAACTACATTTCCCAGAATTCTCTTCTCTTCTTTCTGAATAAAAATTAGTGCTACCTCCTTTTTCTAATATGTTCCAGCTGCAATTTCTTCTGTCTTCCATGCTTCTGATTTCTTCAGGTTTGGTCATTTGAGTTTGTCTATTGAGCCATGAGCCAATTCGGGGTAAAAAATAAAATATTAATTTTTCTAGAATACTGGGTTCCAATATCCAAAATTTTTTAAATAGGAAATTAATTCATTGGAATTTCCTAATTAATATCTTGATCAATGAATTTCGAACATAGAACATCATACAAATGAAGAAGTTAGATTTCAAAATCAATTTACTTACATCTGTATTTGCAACATTTCTAACAATATAGAAATGCACAATGGTAAAATAATATGATTGAATACTTTGTAATCATTAGAAGGATGTTATAGGTTCCAATGACAAAAGAACGTGCTTATGATATAATGAGTAAAAATATTCAGATAGTGTGATAGCAATTTAATAAAGTATATTTTGTACATATTCCTATAAAAGTCTGAAAAGATTAAAATGTGGTTATTAACTGGGTGGAGAAATAATAGATATTATCTTCTTTTTGAATTTATTTTTCCCAATAAGGTAGTATTGTAATCTGTAAAAGGACATGTTTTTTTAAAGACACAGTATCATTGATAGAAGACAGCTGCTAATACCAGATCAGCTCTGGGTGTAGTGAAAACGTAGAGGCCCTGACCTGAGACATCAATGTGCCTGAGGAGCCCGTGAGAATCATGCTGTAGATTCACTGACCCCAGGTTCATCTCAGTCCAGGGAAGACAGAGTGAAAGGCTGGACCACAGCCGGATTAGAGGGAAGCCCTTCCTGCTCTGAAATCCTGAAACACTTCAGAACCAAGTTATCTCCCAACCAAGGGATACAGAGAGAACCAAAGAGATGCTGGGAGCCTCCCTCTGAATTTAGTTCACATGAATGGAGCGGGTGGGGGACGAAAGCATACTCCCCCTTAAACGGCCAGACCTGGGAATCATCTTTGCCGTTGTCTTCATAACCCAAGTTTTTCTTCTCTGAAACATATCACAAAAGTATTCCCTTCAGGTTTCATGTAAAAATATGAACATCTACTTTGAAATAGAGAGCCCTGCATGCAATGTTCAAAAAAAATAATTTCTCTATTTTTAATCAGCCAATTGAAGGAGAAATGTATATTTATTATCATGGTAGAATAATACTGTAATAATCAATGAGAGTGGACAAATTTTTAAGTACAAAACAATTATTAAGATGTCTCATTACAAAATAAATAAGGAAATTGGTTGATGGTTAACACAAATATTAGGGCTAGATGGCCCTAAGAAAAGCATCATTATTTTTGAGCTAACAAATGTTCTAATATTTTTTTTCTTTTTATTGAATTTATTGGGGTGACACTGGTTAAATTTTAAAATAAAAATACAAGACAGGGTAATAAACATTAGATTATATCATAATTCTAATTTTGTAGGGTTACTTGGTGCCCTAGTAATTGTGATTTGTGTTTAATTTGAATTATTTCATTTTGTGCATGAGTCATTCAAGACCCATGTCTTACTCCTCCAACCACACTGGAAACTGAACATAGATTCAATATCACAAATGGACAGCATAGCAACCACAAAGGCCATCTTAGCAGCTGACAGGACTAAGAAATTATTGTTTCAGCATTATTATGTGGAATTTTTAACATTAAATACCAAAATTTTCAATAATAAAATTGTGGTAGCAATTTCAAGTTATTTTTGCATCCCAGAAATATAGTTTATGACAGTGTTTGCTGTCTTTGGTCCTGTCTTTGGTTGAATAGCAACTTCTTTTTTATCATCTGGCCATTTTGCATTGGGCCAGCATGTGTATTTGCTAAACCTTTAGTTTCATTTCAACTACCTGCACCTTCCAAGTCACAATGCTAACCCCCTAAAGCCCAAGTCTCTGAACTCTTTGTTTTTTATAAAGCTCTTAGGTAAATCAGACTACGGGGTGCCCATTGCTCAGCTCCAAATCAAACACACAAAAATACACTGGAGGGAATTTTTCCTTAAGAAAAAACAATAGTACCAGTGTATTTCTTAGAGGCTTTCTCAGGACTTTCATAAACATTGTCTCCAATTTCGGATTCCCACCCCTGAACCAATACTTTAACTGCAGGATAAGAAAAAGGAATTCACTTTAGCGGAACTGTTAAATATTTAAGTAAGAATTTAAAAAGTCACCCTCATCGTTACTATTTCCCATGTCCTCTCCTTATTTGAGTTATTTCCATTTAGCCTTCCTTATCCTCATTTGAGATAGCTGTGTTTACAAAAGTAATGAAATAATTCTCTTACCTCCATGTTGGGGAGCACATTCAGGGCGGAAGAGAGGGTGAAAGTTTCTGCTGAGCGCCTGGGCAGCTCACCAGCTGAGGAGCCCAGCAGTCTGCATCCTCCTGGCTCTGCCTGGGGCTTTGCTTGGCTCTCTTATATAGAGGGAGGGTTCCTGAGACTCAGCTCCCACCCCAACCAGATCCTCTAGGGATTGGCCTGCCCCGTGACTAGTCTGTGTCTTCAAGCCAGATGCATCTTATCAATCCACACAGCCAACTGGGACTGTTTGGAAGTGTAGCTATGAAGAAACACCTATAAATCAAGAAAGGCAGAGAATGTTCTCAGGTCAATGTTTAAGTGATTTTCAACCACAGGAGGCTGTGTAAGATAAGGAATAAGCCTTCATCCTGTCTCAATCTATTAAACCAGCTATTTTCTTTCTTTTTTTTAAAATATATTTTATTGATCCTTCCACAAAGAGGAAGGGAGAGGGACAGAGAGCCAGAAACATCGATGAGAGAGAAACATCGATCAGCCGCCTCCTGCACACTCCCCACTGGAGATGTGCCCGCAACCAAGGCACGTGCCCTTGACCGGAATCGAACCTGGGACCCCCAAGTCCGCAGGCTGACGCTCCATCCACTGAGCCAAACCAGTTAGGGCCCAGCTATTTTCTTAAAAAATATATATATATTTTTATTGTTGATAATATTACAAATATCTCCCATTTCCCCCTTCTTTCCCCCCCTCCTCCCAGTCCCTACCCACCCCTCATATTTTCACTAACCTATTGTCCATGACCATGGGCTATGCATATATAATAAAACCCTAATATGCAAATTGACCGAATGGCTAAACAACCGGTCGCTATGATGCACACTGACCACTGGGGGCAGATGCTGAACACAGGAGCTGCCCCCTGGTGGTCAGTGTGCTCCCACAGGGGGAGCACCGCTCAGCCAGAAGACTGGGCTCACTGCTGGCAAGCGCAGCAGCGGTGGTGCAAGCCTCTCCTACCTCCGCAGTAGCGCTAAGGATGTCCAACTGCCAGCTTAGGCCTGCTCCCCATGGAGCTGTCATTCAGACATCCCCCAAGGGCTCCAGGACTGTGAGAAGGTGCAGGCCGGGCTGAGGGACCCCCCCTGAGTGCACAAATTTTGTGCACCGGGCCTCTAGTAAGTAGATAAATTCTTTGGTTTATCTCTTCTTATCCCCCCAACCCCACATCGAGGTATGTCAGTCTGTTCCATGCCTCCATGTTAATATATTTTTATTGATTTCAGAGAGGAAGGAAGAGGGAGAGAGCGATATAGAAATATCAATTATAAGAAAAAATCATTAATCAGCTGCCTCCTGCACACCCCCTACTGGGGATTGAGCCCAAAAGCTGGTCATGTGCCCTGACTGGGAATCAAACTGTGATCTCCTAGTATAGGTCAATGCTCACTGAGGGACACTGGTTAGGCCTAAACCAGCTATTTTCAACCTTTTTTTTTTTTTTTTTATCTCAGGGCACATATAAACTAATTATTAAAATTCTGCAGCACACCAAAAAATATATTTTTTCCCATCTGACAAAAAAATAGGAATAATTTTGATTCATTCACATCAAACGTCTATTGTGTTGGCTGTTGTCATTTTTTTACTTGACAACCTAAGGGAAAAGACATCAGTGCTTCTGACTAAATAGGTATTGCATGTTTTAAAAATTTTTACAGCACATTGGCTGAAAATCGCTGTACTAAACTCAGTGAATGTTTTCATGGTGTGTTTTTTTTTAAGGATTTATAGACCAGATTTAGAGACTAAACACTTTGTGGGAGAAAAGATCTAAATGCAATTCTGTCACTCCAAAGGTAAATGGAACATTCTGGAGAGAAGACCACACTATATATATATGGCCTAAAACAATATGATACCCAACCCTTCATGCTTGACTTTCATAGCATGATCAAAAAGAACATCATTTTTTTTTTTTTGGCAAACATATTTAAAGGCATCACTAATCTTCCTAAGAACTTCCCTTAATCCTTTGATATCCAGATCACTTCGTTGGAAAAGTCTTATCATGGTTATCATCCTTGTCCATTTTCTCTTCTTCGGTTGTTGCCTTGTCTTTTTCTGCCAGATCCTCATTTTCCTTGGCTTGGCATTGATTCTAGCAGTTCTTCAATATCACTGTCATTGATTTCATAAAACACTGTTTTTGGTAAGACTTTTAGGTTTTCTATGAAGTTGAGCTACAGTTTTCTTTGCATTAGGGGACTATGAGTAGGAGACATAAGTGTTAAGTGGGAGAAAACATCCAATGTAGGGCTGAAAATGTAGAAATCTTTGGGAGGAAACATCTTGGAATGGGTTATAGGTAAAGCCATGGGCCTGAGCAAACAATTGAAGTCATGTAGACTGATCAAATATAAAACCACAAGAAATGCTCCTATTCAGGGAGCAAAGAAGATGAAGAAAAGCTAAAAAGGAGAGAGAAAGGTTACTGAGGAGAAAGAAAATGAAGACAATGCATGTCAAGCCAACTGAGGAGAATCTCAAAACGAGGTCTGTCAACAATGACAAGCACCATTTGGAGGTCAAGGAGACAGAGTACTGATGAAGACCACACCACCCGGCAACTCAAACATTGTGGCTGAACTGAGGGCATATTTCTGACATAGTCTCTGCTCCAGGCCTTGCAAAATAATGTTGAGGTTAAGTAAGTGTAAGAGATTGTATAAATTATAGAGCAGAGTTTCTCGGCAGCCGGATTACTGACCTTTTGGGACTGATAGCTCTTTGCTGGTGGAGGGAGTGGAGAGGGAGCTGTGCTGTTAATCAGAGGACATCCAGCAGGTCTCTGGTCTCTACCCACTACATGACAGTAATGCCCTCCCCAGTCATGACAATCAAAACCCTGTCCAGCCCTGGCCATTTTAGCTCAGTGGTTAGAGCGTCGGCCCACAGACATAAGCTTCTTGGGTTCAATTCCCAGTCAAAGGCACATACCTCGGTTGCAGGCTCGATCCCTGGCCTAGGTCAGGGCTGAAGAGGAAGGCAACCAATCAATGTGTCTCTCTCATATCTATGTTTCTCTCTCTCCCACTCCTTCCTTCCTTCCACTCTCTTTAAAAATCAATGGAAAAATATCCTCGGGTGAGGATTTTAAAAAATAATAACAAAAAAAGAATATGTCCAGACATTGCCAAACATCCCCTGGGGACAAAAATCACACACACACACCCTCCTTTGAGAAGCAGTGGAATAATGTCTACTCCTAGCAAATGCCCAGCCTTACAGTCACAAAGCACAGTGCACAATGCATTACAAATTAAACGTTCTGAGAGTTCTACCCAACTAATACTTCTTCTTAACTGTTTTCAAACCAGAGTTTCCCAAATTCATGTGACCACAGAACTTGCATTTCTAACAATCCCCAAAACTGGTATGTGACATGCTTTGGCAACTGGTGTCTGAACCAAAACTGAATGGGTAGAGGGGCAAAGCAGATTTCTGCCAGACGGGGAAGGTTCCACTAGAGCCCCTAGCCCTTTCCCCATCTCCTGCTATGACACACCCCCTTTTCCCCATCAGTCCTCACTCCCCTTGGTAGCACCTCAAAAGCCTTTAGCATCCCCAGACCCTAATAAAACTATTAGGCCGCTGATGACATGAAGGAGCTGTTGTGGCTCAACTAGGGGAGGTATTTGAAAACATTTTAACAAGCCTATTTCATTGACTAGCCACTTGGTTTTGTTCTGAGTTGCTCGAACAGATTCCATTGACTCTGGAGGCGGAGGAGAAATGAACTCACTGGGGAAGGATAAAGCCTCATTTTCTCTCTTCTGCTGAGACTGGTAAGGTCAGAATTGAAACCGTCTGGGGTTGGAGAAAGAAGCAACAGCACCCCCTAGTGGCAGGCGTACTCCAGTTCCTCGAGTAAAAGGAATAGCATTAGGCTCTGGAGTGAAACCACTTGAAAGCCCTGAGAAACATTGACTCTTCTTAGGCTCCAGATCACGTGCTTGTTAAGCTAATCAAGACTCCAGGTGGTATCTCTTTTTTCCACTAAAGTGTCACTGTGCGAACAGTGCAAAATGACTACTAGGCAATGCCTTATCCAAAGGAAGTTTTCAGCAAAATAATGATTGTTACATGTTTTATCATTACACCTAATAAGATTCTGCCCATCTCCGCTGGTGGCACTGCACTAAATACTGGAATCTGTGCATTCAAGCGCTGGCCTTCAGGTCTTCCTATGAATGCTGTTTAAGGTTTGATTAGAGTAAGAAATGCTTACGGGGCTTCACACTGCCCTTTTAGGCAGATGCCATGGCCCCTTACAGCCCTGCACAGGCCTTTGCCGGGGGTTCTGATGGCTGCAGAGGGCAAGGATCCAATTACCACCAGGAGGGGATTAGATGTTTTGTCATTTTGCTGTTATGGTTTTTCAATAGGGGCAGGCACTTGCTAAATTTAGGAGAAGGCCGGTTTGCTTGGGTTTCTAACTGGCATCTGGGTTTTTCCATTATCTGCAATGCGCATAGTAGCAGCAGCCTGCAAGTGCAAGATACATTTCATTTGGTTCACACTTGAATGAAGTCAAACAGCTCTGAGAAGGAAGACACAAAATGCAAAGTTTCCATGGTTCCCTGACTGCCTTAGGTAAAGCCTAGAGGAAGGGCAAATATCAAAAGGCGAGGTCATTTATTTATCCTACACTTTAAACTTCCGGTGCCTACAAACAAAGTTGGGTTTGTCTGTTTGTTTGATGTTGGCTGTTGTGTTTTTTTCAGATCAAGATTTCAGCATATTATAGCCCTAAAATAAAAATTAATCACTCTCAGATAATGTCCATCTATCCCATAATTTTAGGCTTTTCCTCCTTAAACTCCCTCTAACAGATATCGTTTGGTATCAGATTTATCGTTACATACCCCATGGCCCCCAAAAATAAAGCATGGGCGGTAGAAAGAACTCCCTCTAACAGATATCGTTTGGTATCAGATTTATTGTTACATCCCCATGGCCCCCAAAAATAAAGCATGGGCAGTAGAAAGAAGTAAAACCCTGAATTGTACAAACTCTTCAAATATTTGTAAAAAAAAAATTAAAAATCTTGGAAACAAGTGAAGAACAGCCACAAACACATAACTGGAAACTTCTTAAAGGAAAAA